TTGTTAAAGAGTAAAAGGATGACTTTAAATTCAAGCTGGTTCATATGTAAGAACTTACAAAATTAATAAACAAATATAAACAAATTTATCTTGGAGGACCATTTTAATAAAGTGGCCGAGGTTATGTGTTGAATAGTTATAACGATGTATTTTTTACACAGATGTGCGCAAATATTGTCCTTCAAAATGAATGTAGTGACAGTATCCCACCAAAACTTCAATCTGTTTTGGCTTTGCGAACTATGCTGCACTGTCGGGTTGCTGTGTACAGTGCAGCAGGACTATTGTGCGGAACTCTCTAAAAAGTCATTGAGTATGATATTGGGCCAAGCCTTCAACCCACGCTACATGAGCATTGAGCCACCGAAAGGAGGAACAAAAGAGGATGCATCGAACTTTGGATTTAAGAGATCACTCTTTGATGTACCATTCTATGCCGACAATAACGTCGTTTCATTAGGTACTTTCCCCGCTTGGGAGACCAACCATTTTGCATACTTTGCAAAGAAGGAAGAGGACTCATTAAAAAAAAAAGACATAAACATAAGGAATGCTTTTTTTGAAGAAGGCGGACATGGAAAACCTGAAGTATTTAAAACTCGGCCTTGGGAGTGTTCCTCAATAATTAACTGGATTGATCTAGGATTAAATTATTTTCCACGCTACATCCGCTCCATTGAGTGCATTGCTAAGAAGTGCTGGTACGGCCACTTCAAATGCAAACCTAAATCATTCACCATCAAAGTGCTTCGTCGTAAACCTGGGTCTTGTATTCATGTAAGCGAAAAACTAATCTTAATAACTTCAGACGAATACATAAATGATTACACACAATTATGGATTTGGGAGGAAATCGCTGTTAACTTTTGCTGTGAATGCGTAATGCTATACTAGGTATAATAAGATTATTATTTTTATATTCGTTTAAATAAAATTTAAAATTATATTAACAAAAAACTGCTATTAACATTAGGTATGACCGATACTGAAATAGGCTTCATCATTCCTCCTCATCGACATAATAGAATATTGGGAAAATACTGTTGGGTAAACTATGATATCAAATTAGGTTTCATGTGTTTTTTTTTTTCGCAATGTTAGAAATATTTCTAATAAAATCCCATCCAGGCAGTAAGGAGTTTATGAATTTGCTTTCAAGTTCTTTTTGTTCGTTTTGACTAAAGTAATATTGATTTGATTGGACTTTATTGTATTGCTGATTTTACTTTCCCTCCAAGGCACTTTCATTAATGTCTATAGATCGTTTAAATATCACAAATTGTAGTCGTTTTTTTCCTCGTTTAAGACTTGTTTACTTGTAGAAACAGTCAGGCAAGAGAATGTGTTTCTTCCAGGCACCAAAATATATTGTATTTTCATGACACGAAATTTAAAGAATTATTATTGTGGAGCTTAAAATGTTATTATCGGAAATTCCTAATGGATGATTTTCATGCCTTTGGCGCTCACTTAATTATGAGCGAGCATTTGCCTGCACCATAATAAATTTCGGCTATACTTTAGTATCCGCCTAAGGGCCAAATCGTCAACGATAAATGATTTGGGTTTTGGCCGAGTCCCTGAACGCTCTTATTCCAACACCAAATGCAGCTCGCGAATCGCGCTCGTTTGAAGTAATAAAGATAAATTGAAAGAAAAGTTACCTTGGCAGCCTGCTGCTAGCACGTGCGTAATCAATACACGTAACTTTTGTTTCTTTACCGATCTTAATGAAATTTTCTACAATATTTCTTTTTGTACCATAATATATTTGCGTATTTTTAAAAAATCAATTGCATTAAAACTGTGGCTTAAATTTGTGGGCAATATAAATTGGGTTATTAACTCTACGGTGGTAGGTTGGAGGTGGCGTTAGATATAAAATGAAGGATACTTGATATATATATATATATAATATTCTAGAAGCAACATATCAAGTTTGGTGACTCTAGCTCATAATATAAGCAAAATTTGCTCAAAAAACAGGATGTCGATATTGATTTTTATCGATTGCTTGGAGTGAGTTATCGATTATCGGAAACAAACTCGATCTGCACAGGCACAAGGAGGACCTGCAGCTAAAATTTCTGTAGCTCTTATAGGTTATGATATCCTTGCGTTGATACATACGGACAGGCAGGAAGACGGACATGGCTATATCGACTCGACTATTGATGCTGATCAAGAATATTTATTCTTTATGAGGTCGGAGATGCATCTGCCTGTTACATTTTCACAAATACATAATACATAATATAATAAAGGCTATGAAGATTTTGGTTTGGGCTCAAAAAGTGAATGACTCGTTATCTCTCTAATAGATAGCCAACATTTGCAAATGAGAAACAAGCTAGTCAGTCCAATAGGAAGTTGATCTCCAATAATCCTCAATAATATGTGGATTGAGCTCCACTGACATCAGAAAAATAAGTAAATTATTATACAAAATCATGGACTCGGAAGGAAATTGCTTTAATCTTATGCTGTGAATAAGGCAATACTAAGTAAAAATTATTACAATTTTATTTTATTATTCGATAAAATAAACTTAAACACTTTATTAACATAATACTTTAATAGCGTCCATATTCCTCCCTATGGATAGAAAAGAAAAATAGGAATGTAAAGTCTTATCGTTTAAATTTAAAGTTTTATCGTTTTACTTTGAAGTATCAAAAAAAGTTTTTGTTTTTGAAAGGAGCTTAAAAGTTTTCTCTTCAGTTCGGCAAAGCTTTCATCTTTTAGACTAAGGTAATATTAATTTGATTGGTCCTCAAAAAACCCAAGTAAAGTTCGAAGTTTGACCAGTTTAGTCAGAAACATAGAAGTTGCTGCAGCCACGGCACGGAGGGAGCTTCCGGAAAACGATCTTAAACGCAGCCATATGGTGTTTCAGTAATTTACCAAGACACCAATATTTATCCTCGGTGGGGTCAATGTCCTTTAAGATGCCCCATAATACCCCATTCAATCCAAAATCGGTTTTTAGTTAGCGTTGGCATCGCTAACGTCATTATAGAGAATATTATATTGAATTACATTAGCGGATCTAAATTGGATTGTAGCAAAGGCATGAGAGGCAACATTATCACATATTTCACTATATTTTATTGGTTATTTTAAAGTGATTATTTTATAGGGGAAGCACGAATATGGATCAGAGATCTCCCTGTAGACGCAAGTGAACTATTTTTCTTGGGGTATACATTTCTTCGACAAATGCTTTAGCATCTCCAATTTGATTCGTTCGAAGAATTTCATCAAAAAATCCATCTTAAATAAATATGGTTTCGCAATACTTTTTAAACTAAAAATAAAATGAATTATATTCAAAAATTTTTAATTAATATTAGAATGGATAAAAGTTTACCAAACATTCTGTTTTTTTTTTGCTTTCTGAATTTTTTGTCTCAAATGATTTTTTATACAGATCCTTAGAAATGAACTTGAGCGCGAAACATCACTCATCAAATCTTTGATTCCTATTTCCACCAAAGAGGAATACATATTTACAAAATTGTAAAACACCCCTCGAATGAATTTGAACAAAGACCTTTGAAAATGAGTTTGAGACCGATCGGATGGATAGCAAAAAAATGTTATACAAACGTTTTCCGCTTATTAAACTCTGTATTGGGTGGAATTTCTAAAATCACTAAAACACCTATTTATTAAGTTCTATTTTAGAGCTCTGAAAAAAGTTTGAAACAAATCGCACAAAACTTAAAACTGCACCAACAAAATCTTAGAAATCTCTTTTTACTACTTTTATTCTGCGAAAAATGTGAAACACGTCTCAAATGATTTTTCATATAGATCCTTCGAAATGAGCTTCAGCGCGAAACGTCACCCACCAAATCTTTAACCCCCACTTTTTCCAAGGAGGGATCGGTTTTTCAGAAAGTGCAAAATTCCTCTCAACTGAATTTAAACAAATAACTTTAAAATTGAGTTTGTGGCCGATTGAGTTTGCGGCCGATCAGTCAGGACAAACAGTTATATATATTGAGATAGGATTAGAACAAGTCTTCATATAACTTAAAATTTGTTGTTCAATAAGAAATTGTTATTTAATTTAACAAGTTGGATTCTTTATAGTGTTTAATAAAAACTAATGTAATTAAATATATGTTGAAATAAATAAATGAAATAAATAAATAAATAATAAATATATGTAAGAAAAATAACTACATTTGTAAAGTTCGTACATATTCAAAATTGTGTCTTGCTGTTATCTGTTGTTTTTCTACAAATAAACAGCTGATTGTATCAATTGACAAGCCAAATACAAAAGATGCCTACTGTGTTTGCAATTGCGTTTGAAGTAAAAATAATATTTTTGAGTTAAGGTGCAGGTAATATTTACGGAAAAATATTTCCTTGTTGGGTTCATCGGGTACATGAAAGGGTTATATGTGTACAAGGAGGCACAACCTGGCACGGATAAAATATATTGTCTAAAAAAGCTTTGAAGTTGATTTAGAAAGGAAGACGGTAAACAAATAACTTTCATACAATCGTTTTCCGCCAATTTACCACTGTTGCGGGTTCCCAAATCGCTGAAACACGTATTGCTTAAGTTACTATGTAGATCTTTGAAAATAATTTTGAAGCAAATCGAAAAACCGAAAACCGAAAAATCTTTTAAACGCATATCTATTTTAATTCGTTTTTTTCTCAATAGGACTCAATTATTGGTGGGACTGTTGAGTAGAGGCAGTGGCAAGTGGTGCGGTCAGTTGCGAGTTCGAACTTTTTTTCTTAAATTAATCTTTATTACTTCAAACGAGCGCGTTTTGCGAACTGCATATGGTGTTGGAATAAGAGGACTCAGGGTATTCACTAGTCGGGAGCTAGACTAGACTGGACTAGAACCTCCTACTCCTAACAGAAAATTGCCAAATAGTTCAAATTGGATGACTTTGTACGAGATAAAGGAGACTTGAAGCAGAATATTCTATAATGCCTTTTATAATTACACAGAGAACCTGGAACGGTTCATGCAGAGCATAGTAAGTTGATCAAAATTGAAGGGAAAAAGGTCTATAATTAAGTGTTAGTAGGCTCTGAGAAGTTTAGTTGTCTATTCAACCCAGAGGAGTCGACTTTACACGTAATTAGTTTTGCAATTAATATAAGAAGAAAGATTAATCTTCAGAAGTTTACGAGGAGCCCGGCTTAAACCACGAAGGGAAAACAACAAGAATTGCTCTAGATTGCGACCAGATTCATTATAAAGAGAATGAGCGTAGATTGGAATCTGGCAGGTTTGAGGTCAAATTGTCATTTAAAACGAGGCCAAAAGTATTGGGATTTTCCTTTAAGACTGCGAAACGTCGGTTTTTGGCTTAAGAGCGCAGACTCGAAAAGGATGACGTACTGCGAAATATATATAACATTTTATCGTTGGACATATGTCACCGCTCACGTCAACTCCTCCAGGACTGCATTATTACATTCCCCATCAATGCGTCCTGATAGTATAACCACCAAATTACGCATAGTTTTCGTTGCGTCAAGCAAACGTCAACGTTAATCTCTCCAAAGGAGACTTTGATTTTAGGTCCAACTATTCAGAGGGAGCTATATTTAATCCTTGCACGATTTCGGTTGCATAAGTATGCTTTGACAGCCGACATTTTAAAAATGTATCGACAGGTAGACATCGCTAAGGATGATCGAAAGTTTCAGTTAATTGTATGGAGGCAATATAAATCAGAAAGGTTACAAATGTTTCCACTCAACACTGTGACTTATGGCACTGCCTCCACTTCCTTTTTGGCCATATGTTGCCTATTTGAACTAGCAGAACTTTACGCAGAATCTCACCCAATTGCTTCTCACGTCATCAAAAAAGATTTTTATGTGGATGATATGCTAACAGGAGCAAATAGTTTACAAGAGCTCCAGATTAGTCGCAGACAAGTTGAAGGATTAAGCTGGATTGGGATGAAGCTATTCAAATAAATCTACACACAACCTGCAAAAAATATCAACAACCCCTATTAAAATTACATAAAATTTCCATTCCTGCGGAAAATAGTTGCGAAGTTATTTACAGCAAAGTCTCGTGTGGCCCCCTTTAAACAAAATCGAATCCACGACTGGAATTATGCGCTGCTCATCTGTTGGCAACATTGTGGTCTCAAATCGCTTGTTTCTTTGAGGAATATGAGGTGGAGAGCGTTCATTTTTGGTCAGACTCTCAAGTCACCATTTACTGGCTTAAATGGCAACATGCCATAGAAACAAGATCAGCTGGATTCGCTTCTGATGGCACAAGCCGCCAGTGAACACCAACAGAAAGCTCTTGTATTACTGCTACTCTGTTGGCTACGAAATTTGCTAATCCAGCTAATCTTGTTTCGAGGGCACAGATGTGGACGATTGATTTGTCCGCGCTGGTTTAATGGTCTTGAATTTTTAGAACAAGTCCTAAGGGAATGGCCATAACTCCATCAATTAGAAATAACACTGGAAATGCAATCATCTGAGAAGAAGAAAACAGTGACAGTGCATTCCGTACCATTACAGAAATCGAATGATCTAATAATATTGACGCTGATCGAACGATGCTCCTCGTTCACTAAATTGGTGCGTATCATGGCATACGGCAACCGTTTTCTCCAAGCGAAAAAACATAATCGCGAATCAGTTTTCTCACCACAGGAGCTGCGACTCGCCTTTCTAAAATTGGTACAAATGGTGTAAATATCTGAGCTTGGTCACGAATTGGTTCAACAAGAAAAAATAAAAACATTAGCACCTTATCTCCAAAGTTTGAACCCATTCAAGCATGAAATTGTAGAAAAAGAAACCAATTTTAAAATCATTCGAGTTGTTGGAAGATTGCTAAAGGCACCTATTCCATATGATGCTGTCTCGAAAATCTCATTTCGTCGAATTGTTTCTTTGAAACATCCACATAAAGAATTACCATGCCGGCGTTAAAGTTATGGTCACAAATTTACGACGGCAAATATGGCTTATTAATGCTCGAGAAACATGCAACAAAATTGTTAAGGGATGCGTGCACTGTTACCGATACAAGCCAAAACTGCAATTCCAAATTATGGACAATTTACCAGCTGATCGGCTGCGTGAAGCTCATCCATTCTTAATTTGTGGCGTAGATTTCTGTTGCCCATTTTATGTGAGCCTTAAGATTCGACGGACAGCCACAATCAAAACTTATGTAGCATTCTTTGTTTGTTTTGCGTTGTTGCTGATCTTTTCACTGTTTTCTATCCATATTTAAAAGGTTCATTGGCAGACGAGGTCTCCCTCAGAAGGTCTGCAGCGACAACTCCACCAACTTCCTGAGCGCAGCGAACGTCCTGAAGTACGCAGCGGAGCGGGGCCTCGAATGGGTGTTCATTCCACCGAGGGCGACCCATTTCGGAGGGCAGTGCGAGGCCGCCGTGAAAGCCGCCAAGCATCGTCTGGTTCGAGGAGTCGGCAACGCCAGACTTACATACGACGAGTTGAGCACGCACTTAATAGGAGTCGAAGCGCTACTCAACTCACGCTCTACTGCTTCCCCAGGCAACGACCCCAACGACGGAAGATCCGAACACCAGGCCACCTGCTAATCGGCCAGCCTCTTCTTTCGCTGCCGCATGAATCCGTGCTAGACGAAGCCAACAGCAAGGCCAGCTTCGCGTATTTAAAACGGTCGCGAATGCTGTTGGCGCTCAAGCAGCAGTTCTGGCGGTCTTGGTCCAGCGGTTACCTAACCACCCTGCAGCAGCGCAAACAATGGGCCAAGGACGTACCCAATTTAGAAGTAAGATGCCTTGTTCTGGTACACGAGGACTATACACCACCTCAAAAATGGATAACCGGGCGCGTGATGGCAACCACGGTCGGCGAAGACGGTAAAGTGCGCGTGGTGGAGATTCGCACACCGACCGCAATCATCAAGCGGCTAATATACAAGGTGGCAGTGCTACCAATAGCTATAGTTCACGCATGCACTTAAATAACAGACTCTCTTAACAGTCTTAATTAATTTAAGAGCACTGTTAAGCGTTGATCTTGTCGTTGCTCATCTTTGCAGCAGCAAGCCACTCTTTTTGTAAGCAGGAATTGTTCTTGAGCTCTGCAGAAAATCAGAAGCAATAAACGTGTAAAGAAAAGAAGTTCGTTTTCTTGTATCTGTCACCAATAAAATAGAGATATCGACGTTCAATAGTTAAATTGATTAAGTAATTGAAAATTTGTTAGATTATTATTCGTGAAAACCCTCACGAAATATTCAGTCATTGATGAAAAGAGTTAAGAGTAGCAGGCAGGGTTCTGTTGCTCAAAACTCTAAGATCCAGTTAAGAATATTGAGAAGGAATAGATTCTGAAGAAGTAAAGAGAGAGTAAAGAGTCTTCATGCCTTTAAAACCATCAAACCAAGAGGTCCGAATAAGGGATGGTCGTGAATTCCTCTGTGGCACCAAGGTATGGTTTGTGGTCTGTAGGGTAAACTAACATCTTTGTTACCCTACAATCAAATAGACCCTCTATATCATTAGCGACTGGCAACCTACCATCTACCATTCCGAATTTCAACATAAGGATAAGGTTCATTTTTTGTATACCTAGAGGAGTAGTACCTAGTAGTAGTTAGTTTGAAAAAGTTTGCGAAGAGATAGGCAGTGCGTGGATCAGTATTCACACTCTCATTTGCAAAATCGTTCGTAGAACAATTTGATCGGTCAACTGAATAACGGAAGAAATCAGAGTAATTTCCCCATTTCTTAAATTTTTTATAGTTCTTCAACTTCACATTTATTAATCCAGGTGAGCATATCAGACCTCGTTGGATAATGAAGAGGGACGCAGATATCAAACGAATACAAGTTATCAAAAAATAGTTAAGTGGCAACATAAATGTCTGTACAATTTTGTTTGGGACAAATTGACTTACAGGATAAGATTATTTAGTTAGCTAAGAACGGATACGATCAGTTAACTCTGAATTTATTGATTGGTGCACATTTAAAGTCGCTATGCCGACGCTGTCGGCAAGGCTGTCGACAGAGCTGCGCAAGCGAGCGGTAATTGAACGTGGCTATGTATTCTTTTTGGGACTTTGACTTTTTTATTTCTTTTTCATGTTTTATTTTTATCCACATTCTATGCAAACTGTATTATTCAAAAATTACTAGTTAATAAAAACGAACTTTGTATTCAAACGAATTTTGTACTGAAACGTACCGGTATGTACCAGAGTACCGATACATATTCAGCAATAAGACCTTGTTTGGCTGATCATTTTAAGTGAAGCTCAATCGTTAATGGTGTATGCCAGGTCACTATTTAGGTATGCCGAACACACGTCCATTTGATGCAACTGCAGCTTTAGCTCGGCAGTCAGAGCTAGAATTAAGCGTACGCTCTCCAGTCTGCATACAGGTGAACATGTTTCCGTGAAGATCACACCATTATTCTGTGCACATCCCTACTTGACCATCCGCTCCTGGATGTTTTCGGAATTCCTCAATTTGCCATGTTTTATTCAACATCAGAGCGTAGTAGTCTCTGTTCATTGTTTCACGCCTCAGTGCAGCTCCAGAACATCGTAGGATGTAGGAATTGGGATGTCATGACCTTCCTGAGCCCCAGGAATATTTTACTGCTTCTTGGGTTGTCCTCGCTTTCCAGTGCGAATTAATTTGAGTCTACTTGCTTCCAAATGTGGTTCCTCCTCTGCACTGACAAAACTGTCGGTTCTGCTGTCGTTGTCTGACCCACTGCCATTATTAAAACCGACGTTGGCTTCGTGGTCTGAGTCAATAATGTCGATCCTTGTGCTCGATTGACCCTGAGTACTCTTTGGACATGCCGAAAAATCAAATGTAACGGTTTAGGTATCGTCTCGTTTACTGCCGCATGGCTTATCGAACAGCACATCTCTCCTTTTGAACACATGTCCAGTGGTCGGATTAAACTAAAAATATTCTTTTTAATTTATTGCATATCCGAGCCTATGGTTTTGTTTAACCATTGGCACTGAATTTGCTTTGCAGCTTTCTCTGCAAGCCAATGCTTTTTAACATTCTTTCATGGGCGTCAAATTTGTAAGTGTGTGATCTTTTGCGCAATCCGCCGTGGATATCGCCACCGCTCGTACAGACTTCTTTAAAGCAAAATGAACTAGCTGGAAACGACGCATTTCAACAGTTCGCCCTTTTAACAGTATTGTCAGTGGCAGCAGCAGTTAGTTTTTCCACCTAATGCCTAAATTTAAGAAACTTTAAGAAATATTAACTTCCTCTTTTAAAAAAGATATAAAAGCCAAGAATTATTATCTATAAATGATAGATATAAAATGAAGGATACTTGATATATATATATAATATTCTAGAAGCAACATATCAAGTTTGGTGACTCTAGCTCATAATATAAGCAAAATTTGCTCAAAAAACAGGATGTCGATATTGATTTTTATCGATTGCTTGGAGTGAGTTATCGATTATCGGAAACAAACTCGATCTGCACAGGCACAAGGAGGACCTGCAGCTAAAATTTCTGTAGCTCTTATAGGTTATGATATCCTTGCGTTGATACATACGGACAGGCAGGAAGACGGACATGGCTATATCGACTCGACTATTGATGCTGATCAAGAATATTTATTCTTTATGAGGTCGGAGATGCATCTGCCTGTTACATTTTCACAAATACATAATACATAATATAATAAAGGCTATGAAGATTTTGGTTTGGGCTCAAAAAGTGAATGACTCGTTATCTCTCTAATAGATAGCCAACATTTGCAAATGAGAAACAAGCTAGTCAGTCCAATAGGAAGTTGATCTCCAATAATCCTCAATAATATGTGGATTGAGCTCCACTGACATCAGAAAAATAAGTAAATTATTATACAAAATCATGGACTCGGAAGGAAATTGCTTTAATCTTATGCTGTGAATAAGGCAATACTAAGTAAAAATTATTACAATTTTATTTTATTATTCGATAAAATAAACTTAAACACTTTATTAACATAATACTTTAATAGCGTCCATATTCCTCCCTATGGATAGAAAAGAAAAATAGGAATGTAAAGTCTTATCGTTTAAATTTAAAGTTTTATCGTTTTACTTTGAAGTATCAAAAAAAGTTTTTGTTTTTGAAAGGAGCTTAAAAGTTTTCTCTTCAGTTCGGCAAAGCTTTCATCTTTTAGACTAAGGTAATATTAATTTGATTGGTCCTCAAAAAACCCAAGTAAAGTTCGAAGTTTGACCAGTTTAGTCAGAAACATAGAAGTTGCTGCAGCCACGGCACGGAGGGAGCTTCCGGAAAACGATCTTAAACGCAGCCATATGGTGTTTCAGTAATTTACCAAGACACCAATATTTATCCTCGGTGGGGTCAATGTCCTTTAAGATGCCCCATAATACCCCATTCAATCCAAAATCGGTTTTTAGTTAGCGTTGGCATCGCTAACGTCATTATAGAGAATATTATATTGAATTACATTAGCGGATCTAAATTGGATTGTAGCAAAGGCATGAGAGGCAACATTATCACATATTTCACTATATTTTATTGGTTATTTTAAAGTGATTATTTTATAGGGGAAGCACGAATATGGATCAGAGATCTCCCTGTAGACGCAAGTGAACTATTTTTCTTGGGGTATACATTTCTTCGACAAATGCTTTAGCATCTCCAATTTGATTCGTTCGAAGAATTTCATCAAAAAATCCATCTTAAATAAATATGGTTTCGCAATACTTTTTAAACTAAAAATAAAATGAATTATATTCAAAAATTTTTAATTAATATTAGAATGGATAAAAGTTTACCAAACATTCTGTTTTTTTTTTGCTTTCTGAATTTTTTGTCTCAAATGATTTTTTATACAGATCCTTAGAAATGAACTTGAGCGCGAAACATCACTCATCAAATCTTTGATTCCTATTTCCACCAAAGAGGAATACATATTTACAAAATTGTAAAACACCCCTCGAATGAATTTGAACAAAGACCTTTGAAAATGAGTTTGAGACCGATCGGATGGATAGCAAAAAAATGTTATACAAACGTTTTCCGCTTATTAAACTCTGTATTGGGTGGAATTTCTAAAATCACTAAAACACCTATTTATTAAGTTCTATTTTAGAGCTCTGAAAAAAGTTTGAAACAAATCGCACAAAACTTAAAACTGCACCAACAAAATCTTAGAAATCTCTTTTTACTACTTTTATTCTGCGAAAAATGTGAAACACGTCTCAAATGATTTTTCATATAGATCCTTCGAAATGAGCTTCAGCGCGAAACGTCACCCACCAAATCTTTAACCCCCACTTTTTCCAAGGAGGGATCGGTTTTTCAGAAAGTGCAAAATTCCTCTCAACTGAATTTAAACAAATAACTTTAAAATTGAGTTTGTGGCCGATTGAGTTTGCGGCCGATCAGTCAGGACAAACAGTTATATATATTGAGATAGGATTAGAACAAGTCTTCATATAACTTAAAATTTGTTGTTCAATAAGAAATTGTTATTTAATTTAACAAGTTGGATTCTTTATAGTGTTTAATAAAAACTAATGTAATTAAATATATGTTGAAATAAATAAATGAAATAAATAAATAAATAATAAATATATGTAAGAAAAATAACTACATTTGTAAAGTTCGTACATATTCAAAATTGTGTCTTGCTGTTATCTGTTGTTTTTCTACAAATAAACAGCTGATTGTATCAATTGACAAGCCAAATACAAAAGATGCCTACTGTGTTTGCAATTGCGTTTGAAGTAAAAATAATATTTTTGAGTTAAGGTGCAGGTAATATTTACGGAAAAATATTTCCTTGTTGGGTTCATCGGGTACATGAAAGGGTTATATGTGTACAAGGAGGCACAACCTGGCACGGATAAAATATATTGTCTAAAAAAGCTTTGAAGTTGATTTAGAAAGGAAGACGGTAAACAAATAACTTTCATACAATCGTTTTCCGCCAATTTACCACTGTTGCGGGTTCCCAAATCGCTGAAACACGTATTGCTTAAGTTACTATGTAGATCTTTGAAAATAATTTTGAAGCAAATCGAAAAACCGAAAACCGAAAAATCTTTTAAACGCATATCTATTTTAATTCGTTTTTTTC